ACTGATTAGCCCCTACGGGAGGAACGATTGAACACAAAGAAGATTTAATGTAGTGTTTAACATGTTCTCTCAACGAGGGGTTTAGAAAAGCCCCATAAAATAATCTCTTTTAGGAGCACGCTTTATTACAGCGCTGTAGGGGAAAACAGAGAGAGAGAGAGAGAGGGAGAGAGAGAGAGCGAGAGAGAGAGAGAGAGAGAGAGAGAACTTGTGTAGAGGAGTAGGTGGGGGTTGGGGCCGTGGATAATCTAAAGCTATTGGATGGCATTAAAAAACTACTAATGCAAGAATCCCTCTATTGGCCGCAGTACAGATTAAAGGTTGAGGGTTTTGCGTGTGGAAGCCATTATATAATTCATTCTCTGATGAGATTTTCTTTTTTTTTTCTTTTTTTCATTGCTTTTTTCCATATTGGCATTTGTTTTTTTTTATCGTTTACAGAAAAAGTTTCTCTTTATTATGTGTGTATCTGTCCCTTGCCCCACTTTGCTCTCCTGTATTTTTATTGGTAAACAAACCCATGGAAGAAGGACGCATTCCTCAAGTCCTCACAAGGGCAAAATGTATTTTCAGTTTTTGGCTTGGAATGAATCCAGATTACAGGTGGCTTTCTTTTTTTTTCCCACCATAGCTGCGGGGGGGTGCTATGGCTGATTTGGTGCGGATTAAATCCGGCCCCCCTGACCCCACAGCTGGAGCACAAGCCTGGCGCACAAATCCATTTCGATTTAGATTAGAAACCAGGGAGGGGGGGATTGTCCAAACACATCAAATTTTTATCCGGCCTGACACCTTCGCACGGGCAGGCGGCTCTCAGTCAGATCAGTAACGTTACAGAATTTAGGCTTTGAATGTGCTTCTTTGGTGTTGCAGTGATATTTCTGACTCATCCCAGTGCAGGAGTTAAACTATAATTAACTAAACGACTGACAGTTACTGTTAATACAGGGTGATTCAAAAAGATTCATCTGGTTTCAGAATGATTTATTTCACTTGTAAATCATTACAGAACAATGCAGTAAACTGTAAATGGTTTAATTGAGCATAAAGTTTATTATGTAATTGTACAAGTGCTCACTTTTTGAATCACCCTGTATAATTATCTATTCAACTGACAATTAGTGTTAATAAACTGGACAACATGCTGACAATATGATACTTATTTTCTTGTTTATGTGATAAAGCATTTCACAACACAATAAATAATAACAAAAATGATAATGATAATAATATATAGTAATCTACTTCTAATAATAATAATAGTAATGATAACAATCTGTGACTGTTTGAGCTTGGCCTTCAGTTTGAAACATAAAAGTGAAAAACTCCTCTATGATAATGCTAATTATCATAATCCCCTATGATATTCCTAATATTATGTTAGCACTAAGCTAACAGCACCTCACATGAACATTTTTGGCCGTTCTAGATTAAACACAGACAACTGAAGCTTGTAACAGCCATTATCATATATTGCTTGTATGTATCAGTGTTACAGTGACTCTCTTAGTAAAGAGTTCTGTCATAGAGCTGCCGCCACTGTTTTACATTCCTAACAACTAACCGGAACACCGCTTAAACTACAGCTCGTATTCACAGTCAGTGACGTATCTAGAACTTCCAGAAGATGTTTTGTTTTACAAAATTGGTCCCAAAGTGTCACATCCTAATTATGCTGGTAGGTAATCTAACATGTAAGGCCTTCTGTCCAGCTCCTAAAGTCCTAACCAATAGGAGAGCAGCTCAGCTGTATTGACCCACACCCTTAAAAAAGACTCAGCTATTCAGTGTTTGAGTTCTATACAGAACCATGTCATGCTTTAATGATTCTTGCTGTGGCGTAATGAAATTGTTTTTCAAGAGAATGTGTTCTATATAGCACCAAAAAGTGTTCTGCTATTGTTACAATGTCAAGATTGCTGACGATAGAAGAACGTTTTGTACAGAATCATATGTAACACATTCTCCATCAGTCTGAAGATCCATCTGACCATGCAAAGAACCATTTAAGCATGAAATGGTTCAATATAGAACAATCCTTTCTGGGTCATTTTCTTTTGGGCCTTTCAAATATTTAACCCTTTTGTTTCCAACCAAAACTTACCAAAATACCAATGAGTATTACTGCAGTACTTACACAGCTTAAATAGAAGAAACATGATGACTATTCAAAATAAAAATGAACTAAAAATTAGAAACAGATTTTCTTTTAATTCACAAAAAAAACAACACCTTCTCTGAATGCCCAGAAAGCCCTGGGTGTTCCCTACAGGACAATTAATAATAAAAGTAAGCGACAAAACGGACAATAAAATAAACAATGACATCAACCAAGGATAAAGAACTGAAATAAAAATGTAAACATTTAATGTAATGTAACTCTCACTTCTCACGTCCAGAAAATATGTCCAGTTTCTGAGTTTCGTGGTTGGGTGGATTTATCAATGTCCTCTATAAGAGTATACAGACGTATGCATTTGTTATACAGGTGTTAAAACCTTTGGATATGACTGTATATTCATAACCACAACTATAACGGATTGTACCTTTATACTGCATTAGCCTGATACTCATGATGTCTGTATGAACAGGTGGCCTCCGTGGTGGTTGAAGCTCCGTGTGCAGTAAGCACTCCTCTATGTGGACGTGCTTTAGCTCCGGCGCTGCAGACTGCTTCAGGCGAAAGCCTGGCCGGTGTAGCGTGATCAAACGCTGCCTTTGTGTCCGTTTTAAAAATGAATGAAATGAGAGAAGCGACTTTGTTGCAGTCAGACAGGGCTGCGCAGGGAGGAGAACAAATCTAGAGGAACTGTTTCTGAACAGGGAGCGCTAGCAAAATGTTAGCATCATCATTTGTTCCGAGCTAAAGGCTTAATGCATCTCGCTGCACTGAATCAGAGTAGGATAGTGATAATATCCAATCCCAGTACTATATTCATAGGTTCATATGTCCAGAATTTGTAGACAATAACCTTCTAAAATCAATAGTATTAATTAGGGATATTGTATCAGAATGAATTGCAGCGTATCATACAGTATCTAGTTGTATTGCAGGATTTTGTATTGTATCTAATTACATCACAGCATTTTATATGAGGGCCGTTCTACAGAAACGTCCACTTTTCTATCTCTCCATAGGAGTCACTGGTGTTACTGATCCTCATTGGTGTTACACATAAGAAAGGAACACCAGAGACATTTTAAATGAACAATGCATTTTACAAAACGGCTGCTACAGAGCATCAAACCACATGTTGTCAATCATGGAATATCCACTAAAATATGTAATTTAATCCATTTGTATTCTATTTTTTCACAATTACCTCAGAATAACGTAGGTCACACTAGTGACTTCAGCTAAAAGCTTTGTATGAAATCATGAGCTAAATGAGAAAATCTCTGATAACTGAAAGACACAGTGGACTCACCATGTGCTTTTCTTCATAGATCCTCAGAAAACAGGTAAAAAGAAGTCAAGTGACGTCATCAGTGTGACTTTTATTTCAAAAAAACAGTTTTTGTTATGGGTAACACCAGTGACACGACTCCTGGGGACCACAACTTTCATTATATATTTTATAATATTTATTTGGCATTTGTTTTCTTTGTGTGATTTAATTCATACATTCCATAGTCATATATAGATTATTGCAGTTAAAATTGCAGAAAAACTTGTATTTTACCTCAAAATATGGCCTCAGCCTTTACACATGACTGTGGGGCCGAGCTCTTCTGTGGTGCTTGGAATTCTATATGACTGATTTGAAAACCAGTATTGCTAAATTGAGGCTCAAGAAGGTGTAATTGTTAAAATAACTTATTGTTTTATTTTAAAATATAAATAAATTGTAACCCTGACCGTGTTTTTCAAGAGTAACACGTCTGTAAACGCTATGGGGCTCAAAACTGGACGTTGAATGACCCATTATGTTGATTTGTATTGCAGTGCATCTATTGTTTTGAATGAATGTATTATATAGTATCAACAAGTGTGTTAGCATGTGGTTAGTGTGTTAGGGCCAGCTAACATATTAGTTTGTGCCTTGAGTGTTAGATTGGGACACTGTAAAACTGTTTTATTGTTATTTTATAATGTTGAATAAACTGAAAATGTAAACATTTTCACAGCACGTTTTCAGGCACTTCTAATTTTTGCTGTATCGTACTCAGATTGAGTTTTGTGAATCATTAGTATTATTCGGGAGTTTATCCCCCCTCTACTCTTCTGAGAAGGCTTTACACTAGATGTTGGAACATTGCTATGATGATTTGATTGAGCATTAGTGAGGTCAGGTACTGATGTTGGATGGTCAGTTCTGGGTCACTCCAACTCATCCCAAAGGTATTGGATGGAGCTCCATCACTCCAGAGAACGCAGTTTCACTGCTCCACAGCCCAGTGCTGGGGAGCTTTATACCCCTCTAGCCCACTAGAGTATCGTGACCATATGCTCATGTGCAGCTGCTATTGGTCAGTGCTTTTTCTAGGGAAATTGAACAGCTGAATTCAATCATTATAAGGTCTGTCGGTTCTACAATGACTACGAAGCCCACTGACAGCACTCACAATCCTTTGACTCTCCTTTCACTCTCTCACCTTTCAATCCAACACTCCTACAGAAATAGCAATGCAAGCTTAGCAATCAAGGTGTGCTGCATGGCCTGTTGCCATAGTGAGAGAGCAGAGAGTGGCGTGACTGCAATCATGTGCTTAGCAAAATAATGAGTGAAACATAAGCACTGAAGGTTACCGTGTTAACACTGTTTAATAGCACGGAAGGAGTCGCTATAATTAGAGCCTGAGCGAGCGGCTACGTCAGCTCTCGCTTTCAAATTAGACCACTTCATTAAACGAGCAGAGAGGGGAGTGAGGAAAAAAGGCTCATTTGAATAGGGAAAAAATGGCTAATTAGCAAGCTCTGTCACTAACGGTGAAAAGATTACGTCAAAGGAAGGTTTTTTTCTCTTTCATAACTCTCTTTATCTCTGTCTCTCTTCCAGAATCCTGCTGACAGTGGTGGTGATCTTCCGGATCCTGATCGTAGCTATCGTGGGCGAGACGGTGTACGAGGACGAGCAGACCATGTTCATTTGTAACACCCTTCAGCCGGGCTGCAACCAGGCCTGCTATGACAAGGCCTTCCCCATCTCGCACATCCGCTACTGGGTCTTCCAGATCATCCTGGTCTGCACCCCTAGCCTGTGCTTCATCACCTATTCCGTGCACCAGTCGGCCAAGCAGCGTGACCGCCGCTACTCTTTCCTGTACCCGATGCTGGAGAAGGACTACAGCCGCGAAGGTGCCCGGAAGCTGCGCAACATCAATGGCATCCTGGTGCAGCACCCGGACAGCGGCGGAGGCAAGGAGGAGCCCGACTGCCTGGAGGTCAAAGAGATTCCCAACGCGCCACGAGGCCTGACCCACGGCAAGAGCTCGAAGGTACGCCGGCAAGAAGGTATCTCCCGCTTCTACATCATCCAGGTGGTGTTCCGCAACGCCCTGGAGATCGGCTTCCTGGCGGGGCAGTACTTTCTGTATGGCTTCAGCGTGCCGGGCATCTTCGAGTGTGACCGCTACCCTTGCTTGAAGGAGGTGGAATGCTACGTGTCACGCCCTACTGAGAAGACGGTTTTTCTGGTGTTCATGTTCGCTGTGAGCGGCATCTGTGTGGTGCTCAACCTTGCAGAGCTCAACCACCTGGGCTGGAGGAAGATCAAGGCAGCGATCCGGGGCGTGCAGGCACGCCGGAAGTCCATTTGCGAGATCCGCAAGAAGGACATGGCACACCTGTCGCAGCCACCCAACCTGGGCAGGACCCAGTCTAGCGAATCTGCGTACGTCTGATCCTCCCTGTACCCATTGCTTGGGCAATTGTGGGCGGAACGTGTGAATGTTCAAAGTAAGGGAGAGGGAGTGGCTCTACCAAGCCACACCCCATTTCCACAAGCCACTCCCTCCCTCTGACTGAGAATGAGAAGGAAACGAGTGCGGTGTTGGGCTGTTGAATGAAGGGGGACAATTGGGGAGAGCTGAGAAGACCTGGATTCTTGGTCCTGGAAAGTATCAAGTAAAATATGAGGGCCAGGAGAGGACAGAGGAGCGGAAGGGCCGTCAGGGCAAGGTGACGGATATCCACGGCAACGTGCTGAAGGAACAACAAGTTCTTGGAACAGCTCCTCTTCATTTCTGGAGAGGTATAGAGGGGGAGGGAATGGGAGAGCATAGCAGCAGCCGTTCCTGCCATGAATCACCGCCATGGAACTGGTGCCAGAGGAAAATTACTGTTTATGCTTGGTCTCTTGTCAATGAATCGTGCTAAAGAAAACAATGAGGACGGATCTAAACATTATAGCGCTGGCAGCAGCTCCACCTTGACTCCCTTGTCTTCTCTGTAGGCTCCACAGTGGCACACAAGACTATACCTCAGCTTGACAGTGCCCTTCCAGAAGACCCTCGCTGTCTCCGTTTCGATCTAGCAACCCTCCACCTTCCCTCATCCTTTGTGCAAGAAAAAGAGCATGTGTCCAAGTACAGGAACATCAGAGAAGTGAACGAAGAACACTTGTTATATTATTATACTTTTTTGTGACTTGACTCGGTGCCATCATTTTAAATGACTGTTCTGTTTCGATTATATATCATATTTAGTTACCAAATCACTATCTAAGTAGATTCATTTATCTTTATGGGGGAAATGCTCAAGATTATTATTTATTCAGAGATTTCATATATACAAATGACTATTGTTTCAAAGCTTTTCTTTATAACAACACTGATTTTATAAGAAAAAAAGGAGATGTAAAGGTATTTGAAAAGGCATGTTTACAAAGCACTATGGAAACGTGTTGTTTGTCGTGAGTGAAGAGAGAATTCAGCGTGTTTTTCGATTCCATTTTTATCAGCTCGCTTTCTTCGTCCGTCGTGTTGGTCCGCATGCCTTTACGAGAAGAGAAAAGAAAAGATGCCGAGGAGGGATATGTGTATGTATGCATGTATGCGCTGCACTTTGTTTATGAGAGAGACTGGGGGGGGGGGCAGCGGCTGAGGGGACTCACTGTGGGAAGGGCTCTCTGGTAATGCTCTTATAGCAAGGCACATCGTAGTCCACTGGCCAAGGAGACAGAGAATAGAGGACTTAGAAGCAGCCTTCAGTGTTATTCAACAAGAAATGACACGCACAAGCTCAACCTCTTAGAAGAAAGTCTTTTTTTGGCCTTTAGTGGAAAATGGGGTTTAAAATGAGTGACAGCACTCACTATACCACTCCACTGCTTAGTGTCTTTGCTGAGAGAATAGACAGCGGGTGTGCGGGTGATCTGCTGGATTCCCATACCTGCTGACATCTGACTGCTTTCCTAGCTTTAGTTGCAGTGCTCCATGTGGCAAAAGTTGGCCAAGCTGCCATAGCCAGCTTTCTCTACGTTTTCGCTCAGTTTTGAATAATACAGCTTTGTTAAGTTGTCCATAGACAGAACTGCCCATAGGAATCGCGCACAGGCTGAGCACGCATGTCATGCAACGGGCTGAATTATACTTCTGCGAAAATGCGCATAAACAAATCTGCATTTATAGGTAAGCATAGCTCACAGGGCCTCAAATAATCTCAACCGCACATTGCGCGAATCCAGTAATGTTGGGGTTCGACGAGACCCAAACAGTCCTTGACCCGTACCAGAACTAGCGCAGAATCAAATGCAGCAGTTCGAGAATCAGCTGGGAGAGAATTATTTAAAAAAGTATTGCATAAACTGTGACGTAAGTATTCATCCTTCACAGAGAGAGGAAAAATGAGAGACTTTCCTTTCCGTTTTCTGTACGGTTTCGCTGGTTTGTGCACTGCCCCCTAGTGGACACATGCAAGTATGTTGGTGGACACCTATGCAAACGTCTGAGCATGCCATGCTCACAGATACGCAAACACACCGAAGTGGAAACCAGCCTTAAATTGTAGGATTTGGCCGTAAACACTCAGTCGTAATGTGCAGTACGAGTTACCCAGACAGCACCACTTCTGGAAATGTACGGCACTGGCTTATTTGGCCCACATGTCTTAAAACAGATCTGGGCCACTTCTGGCAGAGATATGGCAGCACAGTGGCCTATGTAACAAAGAAATGTGGTAGTCCAACACAATCTGCCTCAACACTAGGAGCACCTCTAAATATTCTAGATTTAAATCAATTTAAATCAAATTTGGTTTGTGAACTTAAAATGTAGCATTCACGGAATATTGAATACTAAGTGAACATTACAGCACCCAGATTTGGAAGGAGTCAGCACCGTCATGTGCGCCATCACTCATTTGCTATCAGGGTTATTAGAGAAGAACAAGATTTCTAAAACTGCCCATTTATCTAGGTTTAATCTCCGTTAGATTCCTGTCCAAGTGGGCTGTGATCCCTCATGAGTCCCTTTGTGTGCTGCAGGTTAAAGCAGGGCACAAGGTCTCAAACACTTGGAGCTAATGTTCCATTCAGACACAATTAGCCCTGTCTTAGCCGCACTTGAGCGTAAGTGCTTGAGCCGGCACTCTCAACTGCCCCCCCCCCATCGAACCCAACACCCCCCCCCACCGTCCTGCTCTCCACGTGCAGAGCAGAGCAGTGACAGACACCAATGAAACAGCGCAGAGACAAGCCAATGCAACTAGACAAACCACAGGCCGAGCGAAAACTCCGCCAGGAGAGATGAATAGAGAGATAGAGAGAGAGAGAGAGAGAGAGAGAGAGAGAGAGAGAGGAGGGAGACATTCAGACAGGCACGTGTTCTATCTCTGCTGTGTCTCGTACACAAAGTGCTTCGTGGAGAGGAACTGTTTAGGTTTGGGTCGACAAATACTGCGGCCGAGCTGTAACTCACTCTCAGCCTGAGCCCCAGGTAGGCTAATAAAAAAGATGATTCCTCAAGGGTTCTTTAGTAAAGGAAACGGTTCTATACACTCTCAGAAATAAAGGTCTTAAACTGTCTCTGTGCCCCTCCTGTCACTGGGTTGGTTCCCTCAAGGGTCCATCTCAGTACCTTTAGTCAGGGAGCATAACTGTACCATAATCCACTGAAATTATATTTTCTAAGCTGTACTGACTCCACACACCCCGTCTCGTCTCCAGGACTTTTATTTTATGGTTCTGTTTTGGAACATTAGGTCATGAAAAGGTACAAATACAAGGTTTTCACCTGGAAAAACTTATTTGAGGTTCACAACTGGACCTTAAAACCACTGTTGTACCTTTGAGGGAACTTTTACATTGTTTGTACCTTGATGAAGGAAAAATGTACCTGCATAGAACCTTTATTTCTAACAGTGTATAGAACCATGAACAGTCAAATGATTAGGTGTTTCTTTGCATGGTGAAAGGGTTCTGCAGATTGATGGAGAATGTGCTGTAGATGGTTCTATATAGAACCTTTTTGGAACTAGTTCTATACAGCACCAAAATGGTTCTTGTTTTGGTACATGCTTGACATCATAACAACAGCAGAACCCTTTTTGGTGCTATATAGAATTTTTTTAGTAAAGAAAACAGTTCTACATAGAACCATGAACAGTCTAAGAACCATCTGCATAAGTAAAGTGTTCAGACTGATGGAGAACATTACTGTAGAATGTTCTATATAGAACCCTTTTAAAAGGGTGCTCTATTGCACCAAAAAGGGTTCTTCTGTTGGACTTATATAGAACCATTTTCAACAAGGTCCTGTGTAGAACCATCTACAGCACATATCATATACAGCACACAACTCTTACACCATGCAAAGAACCCTGTAATCATGCAAAGCGTTCTTTAAATGCTAGTGGTTATATATAGAACCATTTTCTTCACTAAAGAACCTTCAAAGAACCATCTTTTCTAAGATTTAAGACACATTGTTTCAACATTCAAACATAAAAGGTTTTACCTCTAAAGTTCCACCACAACAGTCAAGCTAAGATATCCCTGATGGAAAAAACACCAAAACCAGTACATGTTGAGTTTTGGATGCTGGTATACTGGTCAACCAGCTGGATGACCAGCTAAATTAGCACCAAACTTTTTTTTAGCATTTCTAAAGCATAAAAAACCAACATCAAACAGGAACAAAGCTGTTTGAATGCTCTTAAAACAATTCAGGAATCAAATTGTCTTTATATTCCTCTCAAACATGATGATCCTACTTGACAAACTGATTCGGTAATATGTTTCGGGTCAATACCGCTAACTGAAAAGCTAAGCTTTCGACTAATTAGCTCAAAGAAGAGGTGCAGACTCTGGTAATTGAAGTCAGGACATACTGTTCCTGTTACCTCAGGTGGCGTAACCCTGAGGAAAGGGCTAAAGCTGTGACCTTGAAGGGGGGAGCAGGTAGCGCTAAGCAGCTAACATTAGCATCTATCCTGAGCCCCTTAGCGACTCTGGTTTTCTCTCAGTTCTCGAGCCGCGCTGCCCTGACCCTAAACCAGAAAGCAGAATCTGGCTACGTGATCTGAATTTACCTCGGCTGGATCAACTTTAAGGTACAAAAATGTACCGTTGTTGGAAACAATTAGCATTTTTAGATGTGCTAAAAACAGCTGCTTCCCTAAGTGAGCTGTTCTTCAGCTGACAGTGATGGTAGCCCACTCTTCTCCCCAGTCTCTCCCACAGTATGAACCTTTTTAAACATTTAAACAGCAGTTATGCAAGGACTATTTTTGTTTTTTTTCTTTGGCTCGTGCGTTTTTGTGTCACTCTTTCTTTTCTTTTTTCTGTACAGTGCTGTAACATGATGTTTTGGGGCATTTGCATTACGTAAAAGAGGGTAATTTGCCTGGGGAGCAGCTCCCTTGCCAAAGTACTGTAATATGCAACTTTGTGAGTGAATTGGGTTTTCAAAGAAGCTAATAGGCCTGCATGCATTATGCTACGTGGTTGGAATAAGCATGTTTTCTACTTTCTTTTGTATGCATTTGAGAAAAAAACCTGGCAAAAGTGAGCTTAGCTGTAGAATTTTCCCCCAAAAAATGGACTTTCATCCTTGGTGGTACTTGACAGCAACCTGGACTCTTAGTTAGCCGAAAGGAAACACAATTGAAATTGAAAGTAATGCTACTTTATCTTTACTCACTCTTTAAAAAGTTTTTCGGGTGTTCTTTTGGAAAGGGAATGGTTCTATATAGAATCATGAACACTTAAAGAACTTTGCATGGTGAAATGGTTCTTCAGATTGATGGTGAATATCTATATGGATCTATATAGCAAGGTCGTTCTACTGAAACGTCCACTTTTCAAGTCCACTTGTTTTTCGACTGTGAGGACGAGCTCTTCTGTGGTGCTTGGAATTCTGTATGATTGATTTGAAAACCAATATTGCTAAATTGAGGCTCAAGAAGGTGTAATTGTTAAAGTAACTAATTGTTTTATTTTAAAATATAAACAAAATTTTTCAAGTGTAATATATCTGTAAATGATAGGGGCTCAAAACTGGACGTTTTTGTAGAATGACCAAGCACCGAAAAGGGTTCTGCTATTGTGACAAGCTTTTTGGTGCAATTTAGAGACCTTTAAGCACACAGATGGCTCTTATTAGAACCATTGTCTTTGCAAAAGAATCATCTTTTTTAAGAGTGTACGCACAAAGTGCAATGTTAGCATTGGAAACTAAATATGTGCACCACCTGATCTGCTGCACAAGTTTTTTTGTTTTCATTTCTATTATTTTATTTATTGATTATTGTTTTCGAAAATGTGGAAGATTTGTGCAACCATGCATTCAGCCCACCACTGCCACAGAGCTTTATAGGAGATGATGATTCTTGTAACGACATTGGGCCTCATTCACCAACATCTTCCCAAGTTTGTTCTTAAATGTGTTCTTGAGAAAGGTCCTAAGAAAAAGGCTACGTCAGATTCGTGACGTGTTCTTAAAGCGCAGAACTGTTCTCCCCTTTGTACTCTTGAGTGTGTGTAGATTCTGTTCTTACCTAAGAACAAATCCTAGATAAGAGAACACTGGTGAATGACAGGATCTTCAGGAAAACTGCGTAAGTGGGTTTTAAGGTTGGTGAACGAGGCCCAATGTTTTCTCGAAACTTTTGGAGACATAATTGATATGTGTGTAGGCAGCGCCTGAGCTTTCGCTGACAGTAAGACCTTGTTCACTGCCACTGGTCTAATCTTTCGCTCTTCGGTGAGGATTAGTTTTCTATATGTATATTTCCCGAAGGTCATAATGTCAGCGAAGCCCTCAGAGAAGGCAGTGGACCAGCGCTCACGTCTACCGCACATGCAAAACATGTCTCAGGTACGTCGAAGTTTTTTACCTGACTATTTGGAGTGTCCTTGTTTCTACTGTTTCTACAATTAGTACTATTAGTATTAAAAAAAGCCATTTGGGAGTCTGCCCGCGTTTTATAAAGTTTCTGACCAATCGTAAAACTCGTACCGTCTCGAACGTCTGTGTTGTGCAGCATGTATTCATACCTGAAAAGGAGCTACTGTTTTGTTGAACAAAGAAATGTCCTGCTTGTCTCGAACTCCTTGACCGAGCCAAGGAACACCGATGTGGATTAAGACTTTGGTTGGACGTGTGGAAAGGACAGTGTTTAATAGGCACTCAAAGCTAACTAGTGCGGAATCTTGGATTACAATGCCACGCATTAATCCCTTTAAAAGAGCCATTGCCGTGTCCTAATGCGCTCTCTCGGTGCCTGCCAGGTCCTACTGTACTCACCCACAGCCACTCTGGGTCCCTTTCGTTCCCCTCCGCTGTTGACATTTTAATAGGCAAAATAATCTTAGATCTAGTAAATATGTCTGATATTTCTCAGAATGAGATTGTTGTAAAATATATAAAGATTATTGTGATTGTTTGTAGACATTTTTACTTGTTTTAAGTCATTTTATCTACTGAAATTTGTTTGTTTCAGGGGAAAAATTTCCAAAGATAATGATAATGGAATCTAACAATTTTACTACACTCTTAGCAAAGGTTCTATAGAATACCACAAGGTTTCTTTGACTTGAGAACCTTTTCTAGACACAGTAAAAGGTTGATCAAAGAACCACATCGTAGCTGCCCCAAAAAAACGAAACTTTACAGGAGCAGACAAATTTTTTCCAGTTCATTCTGGAACATTTTCATTGGTCCATTCATCATAGAATTTTAATATGATGTAAAAGGCAGCTGCTGAGCTCAAATGAAAATTAAAAATCGGCAAAAAATATGGAGAGAAGAACCATTTAAATATTCAGAGGGTTCTTGGAGTTGTCATGGTTCTAAATATAACCATTGCATATTCTATAGAACCCTAAGAAGATCCCCTTTTAAGGCTGTAGATAAAATTGCAATTATATTTTTTTAGAAAACAGGTTTAATAATCGTTTAATCTTCACATAACAATCTCACAATGAGAAATATTAGATATGTTGACTAGAAAAGACCCAGAAATCTGAGAGTTTTTAAATCGTTTACGTCTGGAGTAGAACACGCTCTTTCAAAATGATCCAAGGCCAGTTTTCCATCTCAAAATTCTGGTTAAAACTGGCCACAGATCAGCACTAAAGGGTGACTCCTACCAGCCGTAGAGCATGCTAG